CCTTCTTAAGACGGAGGTATTCACATGTCTCATCGCACCCCATCGGCCAAAAAAAGAGAATAATTCTTATTTCAGAATAGGTAAAGCCATATAAATCATTCCGTTGCGTTCTGTGATTAACTGTGCATCCAGAACTGCTGGTGTATATTACAGACACAGCTTAATATTAAAATATAGTCATTTATTATAAAATGCATAAAACTGTTTCAGGATTGTTGGCCATCACCAGTGAAGTGTATGGAAACAATACACCTACTACTTCCTCTAGTGATCATCTGCACTATTGCACATCAATGAATTTGATTATCATCCCTGCCTAATGTGAACTCCAGTGAACACTCTTTTTCTTGTGTAAAAGCACAACTCCAGCTACAAATAATACGATAAATATAACCTGATAAAAGATAAAATACAAAGAAGAACCTTTGGCTGCAACCTTTAGTTCAGAGCTGTCCACCACAGTGTCTCTTTTCTGCTACTAAATTTCCTTTCTGCTTTGGATGAAATATTCATCACGTGTCCAAATAGTCTCCTGTGGTATTTCTTTTCCAGCACTAGATGTCCTCAGTCTGACAACCAGCATCCTTAGACCTGCATTCCCTGAGCCCAGACTGTCATGGACACACCCCATCCTTCAACTGGACAGTGAAAAGAGAAGTAGCATGGTGATAAGGTAATCCCTATCACTCTGCTTTCTCCTCCTATCAGTAGACATGTGCAATTCGTTTCGTTCCAAATTGAAATTCAGATCAAATTTTCATTATTTGGAGATTTGGATGTATCCGAATTTTAGAATTACAATAGTAACACATTTAAACAAATCCAGAATAACAAAATTCGAATTGAATCAAATTCGTATCGAATTTGAAAATGAAATCTAATTCGAAAACAAATTTTAAATGTAAATATGTTGCTGACTATTGCTGATTTCCTTCAAAGATCGTGTGTATTAGAATACATCCATCCTCCGAGATTCGAATTTTGAAAAGAATGGAATAGATTAAAACAGAATAGAATAGAAAAGAAAAGAATACAATAGAATAGGAAATAAAAGAATATAATAGAAAATAGAGGAATAGAAAAGAAAAGAATAGAAAATAAAGGAATCGAACTGAAAAGAACAGAAAATAAAATAGAATAGAAAAAGATATAACAGATTAGAATAGAATAGAATAAAATAAAAAGAATATAGCCATCTTTCAAACTTCGAATTTTGAAATTTGAATTTCGAATATAATAGAATAAAATAGAAAGAATATAGCCATCTTCAAAAATTTTAATTTCGAAAAGAATAGATTAAAATAGAATATAATAGAAAGGAATAGAGTAAAACAGAATAAAACAGAGAATAAAAGAATAGAATAGAACATAAAAAAGAATAGAATAGAATAGAAATAAAATAACAGCATAGAAATAATATAGCTGTCTTCTGAAATTCAAATTTAGAAAAGAATAGAATAGAATAAAACGGAATGGAATAAAAAACAAAAGAAAAGGAGATTATAATAGAATAGAATAAAATAGAATATAATAAAATAGAAAAAATATAGCTGTCTTCCGAAATTTGAATTTCGAAAAGAATAGAGAGAATAAAACAGAATCGAAAATAAAAGGATAGAATGGAACATAAAGGAATACAATAGAAAATAATAGCATTGAATAGAATAGAAAATAATAGAATATAAAGAATATCTTCTGAAACCTGAATTTCGAAAAGAATGGAATAGAATAAAATAGAATAGAATAGAGTAGAACAGAATAAATAAAAGACTAGAATAGAATATATTAGAAAAAAATAGAATATATAAGAAAAGAATAGAAGAAAATAGAAAGAATATAGCCATCTTCCAAAATTCGATTTGCGAATAGAATAGAATTGGCTATTCTTCTCAATAAATTTGGATTGGTTATTTTCGGTTTGAATTCGATTCGAATGCTTCAAATCTATTGAAAAAATTTGAATCCGAACAAAAACGAATAAATTAAGGAGCAAATGAATAAACAAATTTTCATTACGAATGCAATGAAACACAATTAGTAACTCTACTAATCGATTCCGAAAACAAAATGAAACAAATGTTTTTGTTCTACACATGTCTCACCTACAGGGGTGGACTGACAACTCATGGGCCCCCGGACAATAGGGAATCATGGGGCCCCTGCAGGGGTGGACTGACAACTCATGGGGCCCCCAGGTAATAGGGGATCATGGGGCCCCTGTGTCCTTGCCCAAACTCAAAAAAGCCTATGATAAAGGTACCAGGGGTATCTCATGGGGCCCACTACCAGGGGCGGACTGAAAGCTCATGGGGCCCCCAGGCAATAGGGGATCATGGGGCCCCTGTGTCATTGCCAAAACTCAAAATAGCCTATGAAAAAGGTACCAGGGGCATCTCATGGGGCCCCCTACTGACCCCGGGCCCTCGGGCAGTGCCCGAGTTTCCAAATGGTCAGTCCGCCCCTGCTCACCTATCAGCACGTTCCTTGTCAGCACATGAACTGATTGGCTCATTGTAAGTAAGCAGTAAGATGCTAATACCAGATCAAATTCAGGAACCTAACCTACTGGGATTTAAAAAGTAAATGTGATTTTGTATTAATGAACTCCAACAAAATGGTGTCCACCAGCACACTGTTAAGCCACATCAATGGTCACAAACTGAGTAAAAGTGGCTTCTGCTCCAGCAGCATGAGCCGGCCACAGCAACATAGGAGGACATTCCTAGCGGTACTGTTTTAGCTTTGCTTTGGCTAAATAAATGATGTTTTAATGATTACAGAGTTGTATTATGATGTGTCCTTTATATCTGTCCAGAGTTTAGCTTTAACCGCTTGCCCTCCAGAGGATTTAATCCTCTTCCTGACCAGGTCATTTTGTGCGTTACAGTGCTGCGTTAATTTAACTGACAATTGCGCGGTCATGCAATGCTGCACCCAATTTAAATTTATGTCCTTTTTTTCCCACAATTAGAGCTTTCTTTCAGTAGTATTTGATTGCCTGTGCGCTTTTTATTTTTTGCGCTATAAAAAAAAAAATACCGACAATTTTTGAGAAAAATATATATATTTTTTGACTTTTTGCTGTAAAACATAACCAGCAAAAAAAATGTAAAAGATCAAATTTCGTCATAAATTTAGGCCAAAATGTATTCTGTGACATGTCTTGCTAGAAAAAAAATCACAATATGTGTAAATTAATTGGTTTACGTGTTATAGCGTCTACAAATGGCGGTAAATGTATACTGGATTTTTTATTTATACTAGTAATGGCGGCGATCAGTGACTTATAGAGGGACTGAGACGGGCATTCTGACACTGGGGGAAACTGACTAACTGACACTGACATCCCCAGTGACACCAATACAGTGATCAGTGCTGCTAAAAAGCACTGACACTGTACTAATGACACTGGGCATGAAGGGGTTAACATGTGGGGCGATCATCAAAGGGTTAGCTGTGTGCAGTTTTGCTATGTAAGCATGCTGCTTTCTATTGCTCTGCAATGCCTCAGTGTGAAAACATACGTAGATATACATTCACATACATAGGGAAGCATTTTTCATGAGCTTTTCAGGTGCTTTTTTTAATGCAAAAACGCTTCAAAAACTTTGTAGTGTGTGAAAGTAGCTTAGGCTATTTTCACACTGAGCAGTTTTTGAAGCGTTTTTTGCGTTAAAAAAAAAATGCCTGAAAAGCTCATGAAAAATGCTTCCCTATGTATGTGCTTTCAGCATCTTTGCGGAATGTTTGGTGAGTTTAAAAAACTCCCCAAAAACACTCTTCCCATTGAAATCGATGGAAAACGCCTAAAAATGCCTAAAAAAAAAATCAAAAGTGCCTGAAAGTGCCTCAAAAACACATCTGACCCCAGGTTCACACCTAAGCATTTTCCGCGGCGTTTTGCAAAAGCGCAGTATATGTCCCCTGATTTCCTATTGGACAGGTTCACATCTCTGCGTTTTCACCCGGTGCGTTTTTTGGAGAGGGTCAGAGACTTTTTTTAATGCAAAAAAACGTTTTTTTCATTCTATAAACTTTAATGGAAACACTGCAGAAAAAAGCATGTTGTGTGGTTTTTATGCGTTTTTACCACTTTTATGGTTTTAAATCTGCATAGCAACAAGAAAAATAAAAAAAATTTTTAAAAATGCAAAACGCACCAAAAACGCGGGCACAAAAATGCAAAACTCAATGCAGAAATGGCTCAAACGCAACCTGTATAGGTGTGAACCTAGCCTTAGAAAGTGTTTTTGGTTGTAGTGTTTAAGTCACGTTTCCTTGAAAAAACACTCAGAAAAGTGCGGAAAAAAGAGCGGTAAAAATGCCAATGCGTTTTAGCTGTTTTTTTTGGCGGATCAGTGTGAGAGTAGCCAAAGCATAGTGGGCTTAAAAAAAACGCCAGTTCTCTTGGCAGAAAAAAAAACAGATGCAGAGCGTTTTTGTGCACTGTTTAGGAGAGCTTAGTGCCTTTTTTGCCAGAAAGCTCTAATCAAAAATGCAAACCAGACTGATTGCTGGGCGGGACACTCGGCGTTATGACTGGGCGTCATATGACATCCTGTCAAAACGAGCCGGTCATGCGGCCGCGCAACAGCGCAATCTGTCACCGGCTGTGTCCACAGGACACAGCCAATGACATATCACTACACTGACCTGTTGCCAGTGTCATGTGACCACTGTGACCAATCACAGCAGATTACATGTCAATTGTATACAATGGATGGCTTCCTGTCATGCCATCCATTATATACAATTGCTGTTAGCTGTGACAGGTCAAGGCAGTCACATGATACAGACAGGGCCAATCACAGCCCATTTGTATCATGTGATCAGCTTTGCCCAATCACAGCTAATCACAACAAAAGACTGAATAAAATCAGTTTCATTCAGTAACAATGATTGCAAATATCAATGAACTACATTAGTGTTAGCAATCATAATGTGTTAAAAAAAAAAAAATCCTGATCACTTGCCTAGAGTAGTTCAATGTTACTATGCAGGGGCGGACTGACCATTTGGAAACTCTGGCACTGCCCGAGGGCCCAGGGTCAATAGGGGGCCCCATGAGATGCCCCTGGTACCTTTTTCATAGGCTTTTTTGAGTTTGGGCAATGACACAGGGGCCCCATGGTCCCCTTTTGCCCAGGGGCCCCATGAGTTGTCAGTCCGCCCCTGTTACTATGGTAACATTGTATTGCTTTGGTTACAGTGTGCTGAAAAATAAAATAGTAAAAAAAAAGAAAAAAATTATGTAATAAAAAAAATGATAGAAACATTTGAAAAAAATACAAATTCAGTTATTATTATTTTCACCAAATAAATGTAACAGAATACAGTTTGACCTAAATTTATGAAGACATTTTATTTATTTGCAAAATTGCATAACCGAAGCGAAGAAAAGTACGTTTTTTTTAAGTTTAGGTATTTATTGTTTTATTTAGCAAAAAATAAAAAAAACTCAGTGGTGATTAAATGCCACCAAAAGAAAGCTCTATTTGTGTGAAAAAAATGATAAAATTCATACAATGTTGCATGACCGCGCAATTATCATTCAAAGTGTGACAATGCTGAAAGCTGAAAATTGGCCTGGACAGGAAGGGGGTATAAGTGCCGGGTATGGAAGAGGTTAAAATATGCCACTACTTGTCCTAATATGTAGGGACACATCGGATAACATTGAGCTGCTTCTACAGGGAAAACACAAAACTCCTGCAGAAAAAGTGATTTTTTTTTTAAGTCAGTGTGCCTGGAGCCTTAGTCTAGGTTCACACCTATGCGTTTTCCATTGCATTTTGAGCTTTGCTGAAACGCACAGCAGTCCATTTAACATGATTTTCTATGGGACACGTTCACATCTCCACGTTTTCACCCGGTGCGTTTTTTGGAAAGGGTCAGTGACTTTTTTAAATGCAAAACATTGCATCTTTGGTTCTATAGACCGCAATGGAGACGCTGCAGAAAAGCATATAGAGCATTTTTATGCATTTTTGATGAGTTTTAATCTGCCCAGCAACAAGTTGGAAAACCCGCAAAATGCACCAAAAATGCATGTGCAAAACTGCAAAAAGCACTGCAGAAACGGATCAAACGCAAACTGCCTATGTGTGAACCTAGCCTTAGGCTTGGTTCACATATATTTATTTTGCGTTTGATGCTTTGGCCAGTGCTTTTTGCAGTTTTATTTTGCGTTTTTCTACATGTGTTTGTGACACGTTTTTTACCATGTTTTACGCTATGTTCAGCTTTTTTTTTTGTTAAATTGGAATTTTTTATTGTTGCTGGGCAGAATAAAAATGCAAAACACAAAACGCGTCAAAAATGCATTGCCATGTATTTCAGCAGCTTCATCATTGAACTCTATCATAGCATAAATTATGCTTTTTGCTTTTAAAAAAGTCCCTGACCCTGTCCAAAAACAAAGCAGCTCAAAGAAGCATAGATGGGAACATGTTCCATAGGAAACCATGTTAAATAGACTGTAGTGAGTTTTTGCAAACAATGCATTGGTGTAAATGGAGCCCAATGCAGGCCATAGATGGGTCGAAAATTGACCGATTTTCGCACCGTTAGTGGGTTAATTGGTTTTTCAGGATTTTGGCACATTTTTTTATCTGTGAAGTTGGAAAAATCGGCCGATTTTCCCGGCAATGATGGGCAAATCGTCCGATCTTTTTACTGATAAAAAATCTGCGCATGAGCCATGACCTGCAGGAAGAAGAAAAAGAAGACGAAAAAGAAGAAGACGAAAAAGAAAAAAAAGAAGAAAAAGAATAAGAATTCCAGTCCACTATTATATTTGACATGAAAAAGTATTGCGGTTGCAACAATGTATCTATTTGTATCCGAATAAAAACATCTGTATCCGAAATGGATAGAAATAGATACATTGTTGCAACCGCAATACTTTTTCATGTCAAATATAATAGCGGGGCTCTCTGCAGGGACAGAAGTAATTAAATGCCGGCCGTAGACAGGACAAAAATCGGCCGATTTTTTTTTACCATTGGTGGTAACATCGGCCTATAGAACGATCAATTTTTTGTTTTTGTTTTTTAAAAAACAGCTGGTTTTCAACCCCTCTATGGCCTCCATTAAACTTGACTTTTCGTCACTTCTCTGCTCCACCCAATGGAGTACACAGAAGTAAATCTGTTTGGAGCCTTCACAGATCTAGCGACTTTTCCCACCCCTATGTGACAGCGCTGGGGCCTGATAATTACTTGCTTAGGCAGTCAGTGCTGCATTGCGAAGGGAAGAAGAGAGAGTTATCGCCTCCCCCATACTGGATATTTCACAATGATCTACTGCATTCAGTGACAGAGCAGCAACAGGGAATTTGAGAAAAAAGCAGTTCACATTGCCAGGCTTTACACTAGGTTTTATAACGGAATGGGACTATGCAGGGCAATGTAATAAAAAGGATCCATGTAGCACCTATTTTCCAGAATATTGCAAAGCAGCCAGGCAATGGGAATGAGTCCTATAGAAAACTATTGGTTTTAATTAGTCTGTGCATTTTCCCTGCATGCACAACATTGAAGAAAACCAGTCAGCATAACGCTGTAGTGCTCCAATTGACATCGTAGGCATCGTTTGGGAAGTGTTTTTATCACTTTTCAAATGCCTATGAAAATTCTGCACATGGCAGCACACAGAGCTGTTCACACGGAAGCGTTAGCGTCGCATCACAGCAAAACTGACGTCTCCTGTCGAGTCAGGAGGAGTTGAAGCCTCCCATTCAAGTCTATGGTGCCACTCCGCAAACGCCTGGTTAAAGACATACAGTATATCTGAAGTGTATTTTTTAAAATATTTTTCATATATTTTGTAATAAAAACACATTTCAACATGCAGTATATATATATATATATATATATATATATATATATATACAGTCAGGTCCATAAATATTGGGACATCGACACAATTCTAACATTTTGGCTCTATACACCACCACAATAATTTGAAATGAAACAAACAAGATGTGCTTTAACTGCAGACTGTGAGCTTTAATTTGAGGGTATTTATATCCAAATCAGGTGAACGGTGTAGGAATTACAACAGTTTGCATATGTGCCTCCCACTTGTTAAGGGACCAAAAGTAATGGGACAGAATAATAATCATAAATCAAACTTTCACTATTTAATACTTGGTTGCAAATCCTTTGCAGTCAATTGCAGCCTGAAGTCTGGAACGCATAGACATCACCAGACGCTGGGTTTCATCCCTGGTGATGCTCTGCCAGGCCTCTACTGCAACTGTCTTCAGTTCCTGCTTGTTCTTGGGGCATTTTCCCTTCAGTTTTGTCTTCAGCAAGTGAAATGCATGCTCAATCGGATTCAGGTCAGGTGATTGACTTGGCCATTGCATAACATTCCACTTCTTTCCCTTAAAAAACTCTTTGGTTGCTTTTGCAGTATACTTTGGGTCATTGTCCATCTGCACTGTGAAGTGGCGTCCAATGAGTTGTGAAGCATTTGGCTGATTATGAGCAGATAATATTCCCCGAAACACTTCAGAATTCATCCTGCTGCTTTTGTCAGCAGTCACATCATCAATAAATACAAGAGAACCAGTTCCATTGGCAGCCATACATGCCCACGCCATGACATTACCACCACCATGCTTCACTGATGAGGTGGTAGGCTTAGGATCATGAGCAGTTCCTTTCCTTCTCCATACTCTTCTCTTCCCATCACTCTGGTACAAGTTGATCTTGGTCTCATCTGTCCATAGGATGTTGTTCCAGAACTGTGAAGGCTTTTTTAGATGTCGTTTGGCAAACTCTAATCTGGCCTTCCTGTTTTTGAGGCTCACCAATGGTTTACATCTTGTGGTGAACCCTCTGTATTCACTCTGGCAAAGTTTTCTCTTGATTGTTGACTTTGACACACATACACCTACCTCCTGGAGAGTGTTCTTGATCTGACCAACTGTTGTGAAGGGTGTTTTTTTCACCAGGGAAAGAATTCTTAGCTCATCCACCACAGTTGTTTTCCGTGGTCTTCCGGGTCTTTTGGTGTTGCTGAGCTCACCGGTGCGTTCCTTCTTTTTTAAGAATGTTCCAAACAGTTGTTTTGGCCACGCCTAATGTTTTTGCTATCTCTCTGATGGGTTTGTTTTGTTTTTTCAGCCTAATGATGGCTTGCTTCACTGATAGTGACAGCTCTTTGGATCTCATCTTGAGAGTTGACAGCAACAGATTCCAAATGCAAATAGCACACTTAAAATGAACTCTGGACCTTTTATCTGCTCATTGTAATTGGGATAATGAGGAAATAACACATACCTGGCCATGGAACAGCTGATAAGCCAATTGTCCCATTACTTTTGGTCCCTTACCAAGTGGGAGGCACATATGCAAACTGTTGTACTTCCTACACCGTTCACCTGATTTGGATGTAAATATCCTCAAACTAAAGCTGACAGTCTGCAGTTAAAGCACATCTTGTTCGTTTCATTTCAAATCCATTGTGGTGGTGTATAGAGCCAAAAATGTTAGAATTGTGTCGATGTCCCAATATTTATGGACCTGACTGTATATATATATATATACTGCATATATACTGTATATTAAAATACATTTCAAATATATTTTTCTTCCATGTGGGTATATCCAGGTATCAGCCTGGGTTCACACTGATGCAGTGCGGAATTTGCAGCAGTCTCTGTGCAAATTCCGCACCGCATCACAATCGCACCCTGTTCATGCAAACCGCTGCGGGTGTGTATGTTAGGTTAACACGATCCTGAAATCGGTTCGCAAAACGCAGTGTGATGCACAGAGTCGGGTCACATGGGTGTGAATATTCATGCGATCCAATTCTAGTGCGGACCAAAAAAGGGTCCTGCACATGTAACATATTCCCATAGCCGCAGTCACACCCGCCGCTCCCCCCCTCCCTCTGGCAGATAGTATAGGGAGCAGTTTCCCCGTACTGTCAGATTTGAAAACAGCGCGGCCGTGCGGGGCTCTGCCCACACCGCAGAGTTCTGTGAATGAGTGCCTACAAGTCCCGACAACCTTAGCGGTTGTCAGCTTGTAGTTTTAAATGAACTACCATGGCGCTGTGTGCGATCCGATTCTAGTGCTGACCAAAAAAAAGGGTCCTGCACATGTAACATATTCCCATAGCCGCAGCCACGTCCGCCACTC